TAGGTAGGTAGGTAGGTAGGTAGGTAGGTAGGTAGGTAGGTAGGTAGATGGATGCGAACGGACGAACAAGTAAGCAGAACCGAATCGGACCTAGAGGGGCCAAAGAGGCCAACGAAAAAGAATTCCTGCCAACTTTGAATATTACATATACATATGTACGATGACTTAATCTACACGAATCTGCATTTTTTTTTTTTGCACTTGAAAAAACATTTTGCTATAATAAATTTAGATATAACGAAAGAACAACGTGCTGCGAATTTTATGCATTTATGATATAGAGTAATATGAGAAACATACAAAAAATATACATAATGTATGTAAAACATATTCTATTAATAAATATAACAATATTAATGATATTATACATTGATATTATTATGTTAATTAATTACATATATTCTACATACATCACGAATAGCTTTTCATCATAGTGTACGTCGTAAATGCATAAAATTCGGCATCTAGCGATGTCTATGGATTACAAACAATCCTCGAGGAATTTCATAGTCGGCTGGGAAAAAGAGAATGCAAAAGTCGAAGAAGGAACATTTTCAATTACGAGTGACGATATATGTATACGATATCGTTAGCTGGCCGCTGAATGCATATAACATATAAAATCTAAACTTCTCTGCTTTCAAAGTATCCAGACATAGACGTTCGTATAATTACGATTCGTGATCGCAACTTCCAAAATGGAATGGAACCATTCCTCCGCGCGACTACTTTTCCAGTCGCTTTCATCGAATAAATATGACAAATACGATCATTAATTAGTCTAGAAATAATAAATAATAACGTTCATTCAAACATATGGTTCATTTTTACTAATCGTGAACGTTTCGATCGCAGTTGTTAATCGGTCTTCTTAAGCCACACACGGTGCATGTGCCGTATTAAGTTTGAGGTTAAGTCAACGAGGAGACAGTTTGTCATCGTGCAAATTATTTTTCTGTATACGTAGTATACCGTTACTTTGCGTCTATATGCTTGATAAATATATACGAAGATAACGACGATAGTATCGTATAAAATTCCAGACCAAACATATTTTTCCTAATTATATTTCAGTCAGTATGATCGAAACGTTCATCGTTAATGAAAATGGTCCCATATGCTCGGATCGATATTATCGTTTCCAAACCTGATCTATTCCGAGAGAAACAATAGCGAATGGGAGACAAACGAAGAGACAAAACTCGAGTAGAAGCGAAGGCAAAAGAAAGCAGGAAAATAAAATACGTATCCACGGAGCAAGGGAAGAAGCATAAGAGTATAAAGCGAAAAGCCTAAGAGATCTAATAGATATACCCGAACAGGTCTCTTACTCGATGTAACAAATGTTAAACCTGTTCTTCTTCGCTCCCCTCCCCACCATCCCGCCCGTCGCTCCCCCCTCGTCAGTCATATCCCCACTATAACCAATTCCACGCCATTACCCTTTGTAATCCACAGCCTATCGCTTCCTTCGTTCTATGTATTTCCTAATTTCCCTCGAAACATTAGGTTCCATGTCTCGAGGAGATAAAATTATCGTTACGATGGAGCACGTTATACGCGTAGTTTACACCGCAGTTTTCATCTAGGAATTTTAACACCATTCTCTATCGTACTCGCACACTCGAATGCATACTCGAGTACGTGACAAAAAACACGCGTAGTCACGTTCAGCACACAAGTTATCATACTTTTCACGATTTAGGTTACAACAAATTACAAATCAAATATATGGATAACATCATTCCGTTCAAATATGAACAAGAAGAGAAGAGATTCGTGGTTCTATTTCTAATTTGTAATACATGAAACCTAAATCCGATCCTCGTAAATGCAAAGTATATTCAAAGTGCTCGACACGACTGTACGCGTTATTCTAAACCAATGACAAGCACTCGATCTGCCATTACTCGAATTTTGAATAAACAAACATGTCTGGACGAGCTGTTGTCGCTTCTGCTCGACCAGCGAACAGTGCAACGCGAGAAACGACAACGCGATAATGTTTTGGAAGTAGAGTTAGCATAGTGTAATTGCATCAGCGAATCCGAAATGGAAAAATATTCGAAAATATTCAATGTTCGCGAGAACGTAGCTGTTCAATTCCCTCTCCAAAGATTGGCGTCGTATGTAAAGTTTGTACGTTACCCGAGAGGTGGCGCCATGCGCGTTTAACTTTTGCCAGATATCCTAAAAGCTTGTGGAGACGCTCGAATAAATTCTATTACTTATATGTTGTGTGAAAAAACGAAAAGGAAATTAGGAGAGTTACGCAGTTTTCGATTTGCTCGTAACCTCTCGCAAGTGTGCAATTCTAGTAGACTCTGGCTCGCACGCGCTATTATCTAACATTTAAATTAGGATATACATATATGCAGAGACTGATCAGCTAGTATTTTCGATAAACAACCGATCTATTTATTGGCCCGGTGGTGGTTGTTCTGTTTCGTCGAGGAGGTCGCCACAAGCTCGAGCGTGTCTCTACGGAAAATACGATAGCTTCGACGAATTGTTGAGTCGTAAAATCGGCGTTACCGTTTAAACACGATTACAGAGTCGCGGAAAATACGAACGAGTCATAGAGTGATCGTCTGACTTACCGTATGGGCGAGCCACCAGCCACTCGACGCTATGAAATCCAGGTTATCGAGTGCACGTGCGACGTGCAGTTACACTTGATACACTACGACGAGTCTTTCACGCTTCGAACACAGTTTCCCTTCGAGGTAAGGAAAACTCGACTCGTAAGATCGAAAAGACACGGGGAAAACAAAGTGAATTCGACTCGAGGATCCTTCGTAATCCAATCGTACGCACAAGTTGCCGCAGGTTTTCACAGTATCACCACACGATCGCGCGATGTTTTACCAGGTACAGATAAACACGTACACGAGAGCGTTGAGTTGCAACACAACGAGTGACAAAAGTTGCCGATTCCTGGTGCAGCGTACACAACGTATCCGACTCGTGGCGTAACTCGTGACAGCGTGGCAAAACGACGCGCGCTCCTCGCGGCGGCCGGCGCGGGAATGATTGAAGGAGGTTCGGTTCGTGGCACGCGTCGATGGTGGGGATGAAATCTCGCGACTGGGGAATCGAGGCGTGCGCTCCCTATCCCTTCGTAACAAAAGGATACGATGCAACGACCGACCGGTCGACGCCGACGGGCCAACCAGAGATGGGGAAAATTCTCATTTAGATAAAACATTTCGAGCGACGAGTAAAGGATAAACAACTTTTGATTCGTCGAGCGATCAATGGAGATTACGAGCCGAATAACGCATGGAACGCGTACCTCTTCAACTTTCTATGCACACATGAATAGATCCCGTGATAGTAGATATTTTTGTAATTTTACTTGGGATTTTTTGTTGGTTTGTTCCACAACTTAAGCTAGTCATTCGAAGAAAATTTACGACGAGAAGAAACTTTAAAATCACGACACGAATAAGACACCCGAACAATACTCGATCGATTCTATTTTGACTCGGTCTCTGTGAATGTACGTCACACCACAGTCGTCGAACCGCGGCCGACGATAAGATAAGGGAACACGGCGATTGGTGGTAAAGCTTCGAAGATGATCCCAACCGGCCCGGTACCAAAATTCTGCTCCGTTCTCTTTTCGTTCTCGCGCAACACAACTCTCGATTTCGTCGCGAGTAAAACGAGTCTGGTGGCGTGCCATGTGTTTGTAGTGCATAGTATGTACTACATACGCGATCGTGTAAACATTAACAAACGACACGAGCGCTCGAGACTCGATGTATCGAAATAAACGGACTCTTCCCGGCTTAATCGATCTTTTCAGACGCACGTTGTGTTTCTTGCGTTGCAGAAGTTTATTTCGGAAACGTTGAGTCGCGTTAATAGCGTTCGTGTTTCGTGGCCCAGATATAACGACTTGTGAACGCAATGCTCATGGGGAACGGGTCGACGGGGGTAAAGGGGTGGGGTGGGGTGGGGGGGAGAGAGAGTCCGCGGAGCGAGGGGGATCGGGGGTGAGGAGCATGCGATTGAGAGGCCGATGGCGCAACGAATAGAAGAAAGAGGACTCGCACCGTATGACGCGGCGCTCCAACGACGACGAAAGGGACCGCGACGGGTCACGGAGCAGAAATGGCCAATAATATTTTATTTACATTTTATTCGTTTAACGTCGTTATCGCAGAGATATGTAAACACTCGCGATAACACGAGCAATGAGCATACAAGATAACGCAAAAACTTTTACGTATACAGCCAATTCGAACGGATATATTTTAACTCGAATGTTTCGATCAGAGTTTGGAGGCAGTGCTGTCCCAACGTATGGACACGCTAGCCCAGGAACCCCATGCTAATCTATAGTACGTGTAACACATGTCTGGTACGAGTACATGTTGTAGTCATAAAAGTGATAAATATCAGTTTAGACATGGTCCTCGTAATGCTATTAAGACGGTCCCGAGCTTAGAATGTTTAGAATTCTAGAAAAATGGAAACGCGAACACGAACAACTAATATAATTGATATTTCACGCTATAGTCGCTAGAGTCACCACGTCCACTACGAATCAAATTAACAGAGATTAATGTATCCGTTAACGCGATCGAAAGTTTCTCTTTCGTTCTGTATTCGATGTATTTTATCCGGATGAGAATTTGTCTCGTCTCTACCTTTGGCTAGCGACCGATGAATCGAGTATCGATTCATGTACGATTCATCGGTTCGAGCGCAACGAGAGAAAATGTAAGAAAACAAAAGGACACGAAACGAAGACGAACATCGAAACAGGGTTTTCGAGTTTGAAGGAAGCGACGATTGGTTCTTTGCGCGTTAAACGTGCATTATCTATCGACACTCTGTTCAACTCGAATATTTTAAGAAAGTAGGACACGACAACGCTTGGTGGCGAACAGCGGGGGATAGAGGGGTGAGTTGGGAAGGGGACTGTGGTGAGCGGGAGGGCGGGGGTGGTGGGTGGGGGTCTGAGACTCGAGGAAGCGGGGGTTACGTCGGAGTTTATAAAGAATCATTACGTTCCCGTGAAAGGTGGCTTTAATTTCAGTGGCATTCCAATCGCATTAACGTATATATTCCCCCATACATTTGTGTTCGCGGTAAGCGACAATTTACTCGGAGCGTTTTACTCGAACGAGGCTGTTACGCGATCGAACCACGGTCGTGTGTATAACGGCCGCCGCGATAAATACAATTTTAACGACGATCCCTCGAGCGATCTCCTCCGGAGAAAACTAACTTGTAACCCGTGTGTATCGTTCGAGGTTCTTGGCGAGCGTACACTTGTTTCTTCTGCCACTGGAATTTCTTGCCATCCTTGGCCCACGGAGGATGGTAAAGAACGAAAGCAGGAAGGAATGTTCTCAACGATCCGTAAACAGGAGAGACGAGGACGGACCGAAATCACTCGAGATGTAATTGCGTTCGCGATACCTTTACGATTATGTTTCAAACCAGCCTTTTTTCTGTACATTAGAATTAATAGCTGATACTTTTTACTACTCGATATATGCGAATTTTTAATTTAATTGTTTTCTAAGTAGCGACCATCTGTTAGAATCGTATTTATAGAATATTTATAGTCGGTAAAGTGTTAAAAACAAAGAGAACAGTTGAGTACGAGAGTTGTATCATTATATTTAGCCGGATCAAAGTACGAGATTCAACTGTTATAGAAGGACTAGTTTGCGAACCTAACCTAAATTATGGTACGCGCGCTTGTTTTACTCGCGTAATAAAGATGTAATGTCCATAAAGGTACGGAATTATTTTCGCTTGACATCAACAGAGCGCAGCAAGCAACCGAAAGGCATGAGAAAACGATCGATAGGCGGGGAGGACAGGGAGTCGCGAGAATGGTTTTAACAAACAATCCGCACAGCCGCTCGCGGGCCGAATCGATATTCCTTCACGGGACAGTCGCAAACGTTTCTACGACCCAGAAAACGAAAAAGTCGTTCCATGCATTTTTCGTTCGACCATCAACAAACTCGTTGCAACTACAACAAAAAAAGATCATTTCTATTTCATCTTTTTGCACTATAATTGTTTTCTTAATTCTGCCAAGTGGTAAGAATGAAAGAGCGAGTATGAAAACGAGGCCTGGAATTTCGATTCAAGATGATACAAAGTAAAAATAGATGGCGAGAAACGCATAGGATAGGCATTAGCGGAATCGTATGAAAGGTTAGTATTAAATTGACAAGATAATTGTCGCTGACATTGCTGATCTTTCAGTGTAGATGTTTGGGTTTACGAAAGTATCGAGTGTCCGGGCGAAGAAAGCGAAGAAGCACACGCGTAATCGAATATTTAGAAATGGATCTGTCATTGGTAAAACAGAGTCGACCGGGAACAAACTAAGAAAACAATTATACAACTATCGGTATTATTATTATTATTTTGTCTTTCGTAGTACGATTGATTAAAACTATAATTCTCTCGCGCAGAGTCCAGACCTTGTCCCATTCGATTATCGTCTCTCGCGAGCAATGGCGCACTTTTTGAGCGGGAGATGATTCATCAAGTGTGACGTCATCAAGCATGGATGCGCGTAGTTTTTTCCATCCAAAGAACCGGCATGATGATGCAAAGGAATGCGATTGCTTTCAGAACGATGACAGAATATCATTAATCATTGTGCTTGAAATTATGTTTTGTTGTAGATATCAATTAATAAAGCCGTGATTTCGAAATGCGCAATATTTTCCGAGTCGTGGCATTGTACAGGATCGTTCTAAAACCTAGGACAAGCTCTGACTTTTTCTTTTTAAACGAGGATATAAATAACCTATGGCAAGGGAAAATGGAATCTAAAAGTTGAAAAGCGGAATCTATCTTGGAACATTTTCTTAATCGATCTTTCAAGTCGGTGTATTTCGAATTTAAACGAGAATAGTAGGATAAATATATTTCGTTATGAAATTGTTGTTAAAAATTGTGAGTCTCGATATCGCGTATTCGCGTAACCGTAAGCCAATGTGTTACACGTAAAGATTGTAGTCGAGGTGAGGATTATTAGTTCGGTCCGAGGAACGTAATTAGTTTCAGGTGCCGATAAGTCTAGATCCGCCACTGGCCTCCACTGTTTATGTTTCTACAGCTCGAGCGACCGTCGACTCGAGCGACCGGCAGCTGTGAGAACAAAACCGGCTGGCCGAACTTGCATCCCAGTCTATCCCATACATTGTCCTCCTCACGGCAACCCGTTTGCGTTCGATTAGTCCCGACAACAAATTCTCTACCCATATTTCGCGTATCGACAATCGAGAATCATCGAATATTCGACCGATAAACTCGACATCTTACTTTAAAACTCTAAACCCAGGAGAAACGGCATATAATAAAAATACAAGAGTGACGCGCGGCACAGCTTTCGAAACGAGGGAACAATGTAGGTTAGGTAAGTCACACGATACATCTAACCTAAACCAACTGTTCTCGTTTAGTTTTGTCGATCGTTTCACCGTCAACTCGTTTGTGCGCGACATCGCGACTCGTGGTTGCGTCGACAAGCCATGGAAGTACCATAGAATAACGGGATCGCTCGCTTCTAGAGGTTACGAAACGGGTAAAAATCGATGGATGAATGAACGGCAACAGTGAAACGAGAAAAGCAAAGGAAGTAAGCGAGACAACGGTTGGACGCGCGCGGGCACATACATATTTTTCCAAGAAACTTTCGAAATCGCGCGCTACAGCTCTATAAATCCTGGCGAGTTGTGTTCGAATCACGGATCGTCGAATGGCTTCGTATGGCTGGTGGAAAGGTTAAACGCCTGCCGAGCCCGAGACCGTCTACGTTGCGATAAATGAGACTTTTCTAGAGTCGCTTCACCTTTGCATCGAGAGAACCAACCAAGATTACGAGCTAACGAGCCGTCGTCCATCGTGTCGTAGCGGACAAAAAATTGTCGACCGAGTATATGCCAGACTAGAAGTAAATCGTAACGGGATTAGGGTTCAGCGTTCTCCTCGAAATCTCGTCCACTCGTCCCCCGTAACACCAAACGTTGACGGGCGAGTTTCGTGTCGAGTGAAAATACGTTTTGGATGGTCGGCGATCATCGCGGTCCGTCCCCCAGAAATCGCACACAGAAACACGTGACTGACCGAGCCCGAAGCATTTACTTACTGTTAGTATTTAGCTGTTACGAGCAAGTTCGTAGAGGAAAGGGTAGAACGATCTGCGGGACGGGACAGCCGTTTCGCGCTTGCGAACCGTCCTGCCAGCAGACTTGGCCATCGAGTCGACCAAAGTCGAGACGTTCTTGTCCGCATCAATTCTTACCAATGATCCCACAATTCCACCATTTCGTTACAAGTACGACTCGGATTATTCAAATGACATTCGAATTTCTCAAAGTTTCCGACTAAACGCATAAGACAATTTCTAAGAAAAAGTACTCATCGGTATATATCGAATGCAACAGGAATACGAAAAATTACTAGTAACTAGTTATCGTTGTTTTCCGTGCGCAGTTTTAACCAGTGAATCGAGCCAAAACCGCCCACGTTCCACTATTGCCCCAAGGCGCCGAAATCCCTAGACACGGTATTGCCCTTCTGTCCAATTCGAGAATCCGCTAACGGTGTTTTTCAGCATCTCGAGTAAATGTTGATCTTACAAATTTCTTTGGGCGAGCGTTTACACAGCTGATAATCGCCGGAGGCTTATCGCGGCCAGCGATTTTCTCTTTTTCTCAGTCGAACAAATTTCGCGTTTTTTCGTTATGTTTGCACACGTTTGCGTTTCCAGTGCCCCCCCCCCCTCCCCCCGGTGCCCGGACTCGGGGTCCCGGAGTCGAGGCGAATGCGCAACTCGCAAAAGCATTTCGTCTTTATCCAGCGTGTACGTCGATTCGTATTATCGTCGACGGTCTCTTAAACCGGTTTTACTTATTACGCGAGGGTTCGCTTATCTTTCGCAGATCTCTTATTACCAGTCACGGTAAGCGAGCGTTTCTCCGTTCCCGCGATCCGTTCCTCTCGCGTTCCCCGCTTCTAATTCGTTCCAGCTATTCTATCGAACAACTCCCTCTGTTTCATGTTCCGCGAACAAGTAAAGCTCAATTTCCACTTACCTTACCGCAATCGGCAAATAGTAGGAAGCAGGAATCGGCAGTGATTACGTTACGATTACTCTGCGATTACTTTTTCTAAGCATCGCTCACTCTTGTCGGATTAATCGGTAAACATAACCTACATTCGTAACCTGCCATCATTTTATTAAACGATATACACTGTTTTCCAGCCATTTCCGGTTCGCTTAATACGTGTTTGGAAAAATCGATGTGATTATGGAAATATACATATGTATACAGACGAACGGTATACATACAATTTCATCCAAAACAATTTTAATCTGCAAATAGATTTCGACATACAAATATACCGTCCCACTTTGATATCATACATATTTTTATTCTACGAAGCATCGCGATGGTGATTGAAGAGGATAAATTAACGTCGTACCGTTTATTCGATAATCGTAATATCGGACTTTGTTTAGCTCGAGTCTGTCTCAAGGTGAAAAGTGAGAACCGAGATGAGAGGAACGGGTTAGCGCGGGTAGAAAAAGGAGAGCGACGAACGAGGAAGAATATCGTGCATCGTGACCATGTGACCTTTTGACCGTAGGAAATTCTTCGGATAAACGAGCTTTTCATGTAACACCAAGAAGGGAGCAACAAGTGTGAAATCTTGTCTGCCCTGCGGATCGGACCGTTCTTAGCTTTCCTCCCTGCTTTTCTAGATCCCACCCACCCTCCTTTCTCGCTCTTTCCCTCTGTCGCGCGCTGTCTCTTTCTCGTCGGCCAATCGTCAACACGCGCGTGCCTGATGAATTCATGATACATTGTGTATGCGCCGTAATTTTTTTTGCGTACGCATTTATACTGCTCGCACGATTCTTTGCATCATTTGTTAGGTTAGTTTTAGATATAACTTTATGCGATAGTGTATGTTAGTAATAATAATAATAATAATAATAATAATAATAAATAGTTGAAAAGGAATGATGAATGGGGAATCGCTAGTCGAATATAGAAATTCGTAGCCGTAAGAAAGAGCAGACGCACGCCACTGAACGCGATACGATACTCTGAAATGCTTATTCACCGCTACGGAATGAATAATGGGCTGCTAGCGAAATACGTCGAGACATAAATATTGTATCTGGAGCGCTATATATTACCTGTATCGAATACATTACCTAGCTTGTTCTCTGTTCTCCGTTCTGCTAGTTCCTATCTGATTGAGATCGTTGCTATGGGAATGCGCGTACTCGATCCGATCCGATCCGATCCGATCCGATCCGATTCTAGCCGATGCGACACGATCCGTTCGAGGAGCGTCAACGGTTCCGTGCTTCGCGAAAACGAAACATTTCCAAATAGCTTTTCCGTATAGCTCGAACTCGGTAGCTAACCGATACAATGTCCAATTTAGGTAGTTCCAACTCAAATTATACATAGTGCTCGATTGACATACGATGAAAAATAAAACAAGAATATTATGTATAATATATTTTGTATACGAAATCGCTAAATCCGTAGCGTAGCTACAATAGGACATAGCATAGACACAGAAAATTAAAGCTAGCTACAGACCTCCTCGTAAGTTTCAGCACGCGGGTTCTAGAATGCACAGTTACGTCACTGAGTCGCAGCCTGTTCCTTGTTCCGTGCCCCTTCGCCCCGGCCCGTTCGATTCCCCAAGATTTCTACAGTTCCGATTTTTCATCGTCGTTTCCACGGTTTGTCGTTCTCGTTCCTTTCCCGTTCTCGATCGGCCCAAAGTCCTAGCGTTGCTTCGCGACGGTCGGGCGGCGGAGGCGGTGGCGGCGCGAGGACACGTAATCATTTGCAATCCCGCGTAGAACCGCTTTGAAACTCCGCGAAGGAATTTATTAAAGTTTGACTAAGTCGCTTTACAAAGTTTCACCGGTGCACCGAGGCATCGCGGGACCGTGGAGGGAAGCGGGGTACGCAGGGCGATCGAGGATCGGGTATGTATATATATATATATGTATATACCGCGGAGCGAGGGGGCACGTAGAGATCCACAGAATGAGGAAACGGAGGGGAATCCTCTCGAAGAAACGGGACGAGCTGCTGAAGGAGGCGAAGGTGGAGGTTCGAATGGTGTGCGGGGGTAGAGGGGCGACGACCGAGATGGAAGAGGAGTAGGGACGCGCCGGGGCGAGGAGAGCGAGTGGGGGCGGGAACGGTTAGGAGGAGAGAACCGGTGGGTGGGGGCGACGGCACAGGCGTACGCGGAACGACGAAGGGAGGCGAACGTGGCGAAGCAGTCGGAGGGATGAGAGGACGGAGGGACGGGATGGGTGGTGGGTTGGTCGGGCGGGGGCAAAGTTACTTTCCCAGAGAAATAAAAGTTAATGGAGTTCCCTGCCTCCTCGCTACCCCCTGCCCATACTTCCCCACTCGCCTTTTTCTTCTCTTCCATCTCTTCGGCCGTCGAACAACTTTCACGAAAGTTATTATATCTTAATTTACTATTGAGCATTATCTGAAATTTCTCCGACGATTCCGTTTTAATGTGCTACAGAACACAAACGCGAAATCGTGTATCCGTTGGTCCGACTATATCCGAGGGAATCTCGTCGTTGTTGCTGCAAGAAAAAAACTAGCCGAGGGACCGACATCTTTGAAAACACAACAAACCATAGAGGCTTCGTCGAGGTTATATTCTCGCAAATTACCCGGCTTTTTCCAATGGCGATCGTCTGTGGTCCCCAACGTTATTTTAATTATTTGTTCTACGCGCAATTATTAAATTACGGATGGTACAAAGTATAATCGAAGATGGCCTGGGATTGACAAATTTATCGTGGGATTGCCAGGTCCCAGATGTACATTGTCCAACATATAAGGATGCATAATTATGCAACGATTACGAGAGACCTTGTCGGGCGATATTTAAACACATCGAGGTTATTCCTCGAATGGCGTTATAGTCTGCGGTCTATGTCTATCGTCTACGACACCAACATTTTCGCTTTTTACTCGAGTGTTTATCACGAGT